ATAGTATCATACATTTCATTCGCGTCTCTAACATTTTCTGATTAGCGATGTAAAATATCAACGAAAATAGTAAGTTTCGTGAAAAAAAATAAAATAATTTCATCAGCGCGTATTTCAAGCCTTCGAAGTCCGTTACTTGAAAGATGGAAAGCTCCCATTAAGCCTTTTGACAGTTATTGCGTTGCGCAAGCTTCAAAAGGACTTACAAACAGCAGTGATAGCTGGTATCTTCGCAGTCTCTACTTAAGATGGAAATTCTCACCCCCATTAAGCCTTTTGACAGTAATTGCGTTGCGCAAGCTTCAAAAGGACTTACAAACAGCGGTGATAACGCAAATTGACGAAAAAAAAATTGATAATTATTTAGACTATTAGTATCACCGAAATATTCCTTTTATGGATGCATCCCATACGTAATTTCACGTGATTCAGTCCTATGTAACTGTTGTAACTCCTTTCATAATAAAGAATTTATAAAATTCACGAAAATGTGAGAATGAGCGAGACTTGAATAGTATATTTGACCACTTTACACCTATCAATTTTTATAAAAGATTTGATTTATCATATTTGCAACGCGACTTAGCAGAACAGGGACTTTGTGAATTTCTCACTAGGGTTGCTACAGGGAATTCAAAATATAAGGAAAAAGCAAAGGATATTTTACAAAATCTCCACCTTTCAATAAAATCACGATCCGTTGAAGAATACTGGGAGAGAATAAAAATTTTGAAATTGAAACGACAGCTACATAACACCAAAAAGTTAAAGGTATATTCAAATTATTGAAATTTTATTTGTAGACTGTTGACTTATCTATACATTTTACACACAACTAGTATTTAGAAGAGAAGGCAGAAATACTTGACAATGTATCCGAATCCCGTATGGCAATGCATAATATATATAATCGGGAATTGTTACTTTAGAACTTAATCATCTGGAACAGGAAAAACGAGAGCAATTAGACAACCAAAGGATAGAAGTCGGTAACTTTTCAGACTGTGGTGATAATTTGATAGATCGTGAAGAAATTTCTCAACAAAAGGCGCGGATACGAAAACAAATTGTTCGGATAACACGGTGTTGGCGCACCAGTGACCTCACTTGAGTTATCTGATGCCAAAAGCTTCTTGCCGATCCAACATCGGACCCACTGGGGCACAGGTGACCTTCTCGGTTGCGTGATGTTCTGGTGGGCGGGAAATCGAATAGATTTGAGTCAAAGAATGTTACTAATTCTAAATCTTCCATGTTAGGATCCAAAACAAGAC